ACTGAGGTCTGTTCATGCTTCTCACAAACCTCTTGGCCGAACCCTAGGTTACGTCTCTATCAGGCTGTGTTTCGCCTTCCAGAGCCAGTGCTGGTCTCTTCACTTCCAGGCAGGGACTTCGGTTCAGGCACATGAGGGTCTACAGGCAAGACATCGACCTAGCTGCTTCGAGATGCTAAGCTAAGTGATTTTGTGCATTTGAGTGGTATTGTTTGATTTATGTGTGTGCTGATGAAGGCTCCATAGCCGCAACATTCACATTTTTTTGGGTTATATTGTGAACCTTGCTGATCTACTTTTCGTTTGGTTTAATATCTTTCTAACCATGTATAGACGTTTTCTTCTTTTGGAGGTACCGGTTGTGACAACACGGGAGAAATATTTCAGTCCGGCAAGAGTTAATTGCAAGTTTTAGTTAAAAGAATTGCGCACGTAAAATAAATATATTTAAACATAGACGCTAAAAGAATAAATAGGTACGAAGGCGCACATAATTTATGACGTTTTGTGGTGTTACTAGGAGATCTAATCTCGTCACAACACAGAACGATTGCCAGCCATACCATCGGCCTAACACCCACAAAAATAATACCTTATACGAGTTCAGATGAGATTTATAATGGTTCCCGTGTTACCGTAGTCCTGCTTGCCTGTTTACCAGAGGACCATAATCCTGTGTTACCGTAGTCCTGCTTGCCTGTTTACCAGAGGACCATAATCCTGTGTTACCGTAGTCCTGCTTGCCTGTTTACCAGAGGACCATAATCCTGTGTTACCGTAGTCCTGCTTGCCTGTTTACCAGAGGACCTTATTCCCGTATTACCGTAGTCCTGCTTGCCTGTTTACCAGAGGACCGTAATTCCGGATTCCGGTTGGCCTGTTTGCCTAGTTGCTTGAGGAACGTGAACCGTATTCCTGATTGCCGGTTTATCAGTGGACATTCCTCCAAAGGAAACTACATTTCCGCTCATCAATACTATCGGAAAGCTGAGTGAAATTTTATGTTTGTTCTGAGTTTTGTGGTGTACGTGATGACACCGTGATTTATTTTCTCTGTGTTAATTTGAAAATTGTTGAATTCAATATCAGTAGTTTATCAATACAGGTTATTTAGAAACTCCATTTATCGATTTCATCCTATCAATTTTAACTTCTTAGGTAAACTAAAGATTGTTCATTGCAATTTATTTGAGTTAAATTTACAAAGTTTTGACTTTGGTTGTTTTTCTGAATTTCTTTAGGAAATTTCCGGGGATTCACCCTATTCTTTAACTTTCTGTATTCTCCTTCCCCTATTTTCCAGAACTCAGGGACCGTTATAATTCCCCTAGACTTATTTAATTCGAGCCCCTGTAAGTTATTTGGAAGGATATAGGGGATCTCCAGGCGACGATAGATTCCGCCAACAATAATTGATTACAATTGGGGTCTCTTACGCGGGATTTTTCAGAAGTTAGGTCATTAAAAGTAGTCATTAATAGGAAAT